GAAGGTAACAGTTTCATGATGGGGGAAAAAAATGAAGAAAGACGTTAAAAAGAAAAGTGGCTCACTCCCTCTGAGATTCCTAGGGGAAAAGAAACTGTAAAGAAAGGAGACTTAATAGAAATTCCAAGATAAATGGGCCAAGTGACATATGTCAACAGAGAACGAGATTAGAGAAGCAACACTAATCATTACTTAACTCTCACCCACTTAGATAGGAACACGCAGAAACAAGAAAATATAATTTGAAAAGTTATTCCAAAGGAAGCAGGCAAATGAATAACGTACTTCCAGAACAATTTAGTTTACCTACATCAGTCTATAAGTAAGTGGAGGATTATTCTACATCAAGGAGCCAAAAAAAAACACCAAAAACAAAAAAACCCAACACTCCTATACTCTACAAAAAGTATTCTGATATGGATTTGAGAGAACAAAGTACTCTATAATAGAAGGAACAATGGTGAGATAAATTAATTGCAAACACATGCTGAAGTAAAGGAAAAAATGAATAGTTTTATTTTTGCATGATGATGGATAACTCAGAAGAAAAGTTTTAAAAGTAAGAGGACTTAATAGCAAAATGTTTCTTAAGATTTTAAAAAGTAAAGTGTTTCCTACCATGACAGGAGAGATAGTCACTTAAGAAGAAACTAAAAGGCATGGAGAAGAAATAAAAAATAGCTATCTATGCAAGCATACTTAGGGCATAAAAACAGGCTACAGGATGGAGTGCTAGTACAAAAATTGTCTAATAAAGACTGAACTGCTCACTTTGATGAAGAATGTTTAACTATTTTTTAATAAAAACCTCTATTGCCTTAAAGTTCTGATTGTATAATTGAAAAATGTTCTCAGAAAGTTTAATCAGATGTTATTGCACTAAATAAATAAACCACAAAAGGTAAAAAAAGTCACTGCCATCAAATCAGAACTGAACCACAGCTGACCCTCCACTGGGTCCACACTGGAGACTGCCGATCTTTCTTCCTTGGAACCGCTGGTAGATTGGGTTAGCAGCTTAACTCCCTATAGACTATGCCACCAGAGCCCTCTATTAGGAGGTATCCTTACATTTACATGCATCTCCACTCCTAAATTCCGTTTTTACATAACCAATAAAATGCAGTGAGAGCAAACATTTTGTATGTTGCTAGCAACCAAGAAGTAAAACCAGATCTTGGAGTAAGGTAATGTAAGTACTGTCGTGTACCTCAGTTATCTAGCGTTGCTACAAGGGAGCTCTGGACGCCTGCTGGGTGGAAAGTCACACTGAGAACCCAAAGATGGGTGGCAGGAATCCACTAGCTGCTCCAAGAAACAGAGAAGGGCAATCTGCTCCCTTGTGATTTAAAATCTCTGCTAACTCTCTGGTGGGTCAGCTGAGTTGGTTCTGAATCTACAGAAACGAACGAGTGAGTGAATGAATACTGCCAAAACGGAAATATTATTAGTGAGTGGCTTTAACAACAAATTTCTTTTCCTACGAATTTAGGAGGCTAGAAGCCAGAATTCAGGGTGCCATTTCTAAGAGGAGGCTGTCTTTCTGCTGCCTCTGGAGGGAGGTCTCATCTCTTCTGAGCTTCTGTTCCTGGATAATTTTCATGTGGCTTCACATCTATATCGCCTTTCTCAGATTCTATTGATTGTTTAATCTTTTATAACTCATAAGAGATTGATTTAAGGCACTCTAATCTTGTCTCAATAATATGACAAAGACAATTCATTTCCCAAATAAGATCTTATCACTGCCATGTAAGTTAGGATTTACAACATAAATTTAGGGAAGACACATAATCCAATCCATAACATACTATGTAGTTCTTTGGGAAAACCAGAAAACCACAGTTTAGCCATGCACCACCACAGGAGAAAAGCTGCTGTTTGCTTTGGAGATTATATTTTTCCCTGTGGTGTGAGCTTAAAAGTTGAATTGTCTAGCCCCATTACATTAACCTCCTCTAGTCTCCAGCGACCTTAACTGCAGACACATGGTCTTACAAATCACTAACAGCTGTGGGACTAGGATAAGAAAGAGTGTTTCCCACATTGAGCAGCAAGACTTGAGGGAGAGTGAAATGAGACCAGAGTGAGATCCTAGTAATGGTGGTTGAGAGACTGCGTCATTGCTGTAGAGAAACTGTTGCAAAATGTAACCAGAGGAGTCCTGAGATAAAGGCTGCAGTTAAAGGTTTGCTGTTCTTGCTGGATGATGGAAGGAAAAGCTGACTGCTGAACTGAAACCAGAGCCTGGACTAATTGAGGAATTGTGCCCTGGGACTGCTGAGCTAAAACATAGACTTGCACTGGTTGATATTCTTTGCTTCCCCACTCTCCAACTTACTTCCCTAATAAACCCCACTCTTGATACCACAGTCTGTGAGCCAACCATGAATAAACAAACCTCTTATTGCTAGTGTAGCTCTAGAGGCATTATGGGCTACAGACTCTTTACCTGCTTTCTGCTCTGGGGTGCTGAGGGGCTGTGCTATTCTCACTCTTTCTGGCCCTTTCAGAAAGACGCTCTAGGCCCTGTGCCCTTATGTCCCATTTTCTGTTCTGCAGACAGTTCCAAAGCCTAATTATTTTGTTGTTGTTGGGGGGGGGGTATTACATGCTCCTTAGGAATGAGTCTGAGATCATTAATTCTTATGAGCTTATGAATGAAAAGCAAGGATTGGCAACTTGTTTTCTTCAAAGGGTTTACTTCACTCTTTGTGGGGCACACAGTCTTTGTTACAACTATTCAGCCCTGCTGATGGAGCACAAAGCAGCCAGAGATAACATATATAATTAAGTGTGGCTGAAATCCTAATTTTACTTATGGACACTGAAATTTGATTTTCATAAAATTATCCTATGTCACAAAGTATTTGCTTTCTCTTGTTCCTCAGTAATTTAAAAATCTCATGGTACAGACAGAGAGCAAGCCAGATCTGCAACATGAGCTGTAGCTTACTGACCTCTGACTAGAAAGGTCCCTAGATGGCACAAATGATTTGCACTCAACTGCTAACCTAAAATTTGGCAGTTTGAATTCACCTAGTGGTACAACAGAAGGCAATCTGCTTCCATTAAGATTACAGCCAAGAAAATCTTATGATTATACTCTATCATACATGGAGTGAGCCACAAGTTGGTCAACTCCACAACAGAGTTTGGGTTTTGGCCTTAAAGAATGAAAGAGGGAACTCTAGTGGTCTAGTGGCAAGAAGCTGTGCTGCAATCCCAAAGGTGCATGGTTTGAATCCACCAGATGCTTCGCTGGAAAGACGGGGCAATCTCCTCCTGTACCAGTCAGCTCTGATTCAATGGTACAAAACAACAACAACAATTTAAAAAAAAAAAAGAAATTAAAGCTTCAAAAATATTTTCGTGCACTGCAATCCCAGAGGAATGCGGTTCAAATCCACCAGATGCTTCACTGGAGAAAGAGGGGCAATCTCCTCCTATATCAGTCAGATCCGATTTGACAGTACACCCACACAAAATAATAAAAATTTTAGGGAGCTATGGTGGCCTAGTAGCAAGAAGCTGCACTGCAATCCCAGAGGCGCACGGTTCAAATCCACCAGATGCTCTGCCGAGGAAGGAGGGACAATCTCCTCCTGCACCAGTGAGATCTGATTTGACAGTACACACACACACACACACACACACACACAATTCCTAATACCACATACTAATGTCTCGTGGTCTTTCTTTATCCTTAGAAATGAGGTTCCTTGTGTCACATGAACTCCATTAGAAACAGAGTATTTCTAGTAAGAGCAGACCAAAAAAACCCTGCAATTTTACTTTTAATGAAAGTCAGCAGGTAATCTTTAGAAAAGTGAAAAGGTCTAATGCTCCCCATGTATCTCAAGTTGAAACGAAAACAAGCTCTGAATGAAAAGGAGGTGGGGGAATATGATGGTACTTCTGTCATATGTGGTGTCAATAGTATATTATTTGAAGTAACTTTCCTAGACATTGACTTTGGCTTTGCCACATGGCTAGGTGGGAGCATACAAATAGGGTGTGTTAGTCTATCCACAAGGGGACTGGCTAGTGTCACCATTCCACTAAGCTTAAACTAAGTGATTTCAGCAGCAGAAATATTGGGAATCTCGAAACCAACAAGGAAGAGGAAGCAGAGTATATACAGGCCCAGAGATCCTTGAGCCTGCCAGACCAGGATCAACACAAGACCGACAGTGAGAACCAGAGATCAACATGATACAGAGCTGACTTGGGACTGCTGTCCTTTGAGACAGCATTCTTCACCCAAAGTTGCTGGAGGACTGAGGGGAAACGTCATAACCAGCAGGACTAAGGGAACTTTGTAACACTGACCTAAGCCTAACTGATGACTAAAGGGCCTGAGACCATGCCTGAGAAGCTGTGTGGACTAAGGAATTTTTTTTTCCTGCTGCCAAACTGAATTATAGTCTATTACTTTCCCTAATAAACTCCCATGTGTATGGTATTATGAAATCTGTGTGGTCACTGCAGTGAGTTTCAGACTCAGCATAGCAGTGATACTGGTGTTAGAAGCAGTGGAAGTAGGTGCAGAAGTGTGGGAGACCATGTGTGATGTTATGGGAACTAAGGGTTTTTTTCACTCTGGATGTTGTTGACGGAGACAGTTTCCCTTTGTGGAGTTAGCAGAAGTCAGATTTGCCATCTCCATGCTGCCTGTACTCTTTTCACACATGGGGGAAGGGGGTATGGTGGAATATCTGTCAAGCTTTCTTGGCATTTGCTAAAGATAAAGCAAAAACATCAACTCTATTCACATACAAATATAGTTGAGATGTTACTCATATAAGAAAATGCAAAGCACATTGCTAAACTCAGTTGCCATGGCTAATCAGAAAGAAATCTTTTAAACTATGGGCAGCTAAGATACACCACCCATTATTCATGCTAGCAATGCTGAGGGCTGCCATTTTCAACTCGTTTTCTGCCTGAAATGAAACTTCAATTTTAACTACCAGTGTAGTCCAATTTTAGTATCTCACCTTGCATGCTCCTGAACCCCCACGATCTCCACTTCACTGTCTGAAGACGCGATGTTGATTTCTTCATTGAGGGGTGCATTGCCAGCAGACGTTTTGTCACTTGGTAGAAATCCTGGATCCAAATGACCTAAGAGAGAAGGGGAGACAAAACAAGCACCACTGTTGAACTTTTACAAATAGCAGAAATAACTCACTGACAGATTTTTTTCCTTCTTTTTCATTCAAGTTTATTCACAAACTAGCCCATGGAAGTCCATCAAAGACTGCTGTCCAAATAAATATGGACAGAGTTCTAACTGCTTTTTAAATAAACATGTTCATAAAAAATTAAACATGATACTCCTATTTTAAAGAATATTTATGTATTCTTTAGGTAAAGAATATGTATTTAATATGTAAACCTAAGAACTCCCAATCTCTCACCTCTCTGCTCCTGCATTTTAAGAGAATAAACATTAAGTGCCTTGGTAAATTTCTGTAAGTATATATAATACATATAGTAATACTCAATAAATGAAAATAGAACTTTTCTGTAAACTTTTGTTAAAATCACAATTTAAAAAAATTAAAAGAAATACATACTCTACACTTTATTCCATAACATTTATTTTATATTTTATACTACAGAGTCACAGCTGACCCTCCAGGTTTATCAGCAGAATCCCCACTGCTTATCTTTTTTTTTTTAAATATGTAACATTTCACAAGTTTGCGTGTCATCCTTGTGCAGGGGCCATGCTAATCTCTGCATCGTTCCAATTTTAGTATATATGCTGCTGAAGCAAGCACTATTGTTTATCTTTTTAAGAAAACAAAATTCTAAATAAGAAAGGTTCAAAGATAATAATAAACTAATTATTAATACCATATTTACACTAAGCTCCTTTGACCAACAAGAAAGTTTCTCTAAAGGAATGCAGATTTTGCAAACTCTGACCCAGCGCTATACCTGAAAGAGAAGGCCTGAAGTAGATTCCATCCCATGTTTGGCTCTGTGCAAAACCAAAGCATAACCTGCACATTACAAACAGTTCTCCCTGGACAGAAACAAACCAGACTCTAGGAATGCATGACAATTTGTGGCACTGGCACATGTAAGGCTTTTTACACAAGAGCCTTCATAAACCATGTATTATATGATGCAACAAAACACATTTTGCAACATCTCAGAAAAAGTGAGCTTCCTATATAAAGGCATCAAAAGTAGACAGCTCTGGTAGCAATTATAGCAGGTCAAAATAGTCAAGTCTATGTGTCCAGCCCTTGAAAAGAAGAGCTGTAGAATATCATCAGCACGTTACCATGGAATAAGCAGAGTTGCAATATCAAGTATTTTTATTTGTGTATACTGTCACTTGTTACAAAACCATTTCTCCATGTTAAAACAAAATCTTCATGATGCCTCATAAAAACAATTGTAAATAGCATAAAAGTAAGACTTTACACATAATTTTCCCTTGCCTCACTCATCCCAATGCAGTTCAAAGTCACTGAAAATCTTACCCTTTTATACGCTTGCTAGCTTTTAGTGTAAACTATTTAAGAAACCTATAAAACTCAACTCATTTGCCATCAAGTTGGAAACCATAGCTGACCCTCCTCCAAAGCGTTTGGAGGCTGTAAGTTGCCTGGGAGAAGATCCTGTCTCCTCCCCCCCAGAGTCGCTGGTGGATGCGAGTGCCACCTTTTGATGAGCAGCACAATCCCCTACAGGCTACACCACGAGAGCTCCCATTTCGCAAGTTATTGTTGTGTACTGTGGTGTCACAGCTGACCCTGCAGCAGGTTTTCAGGGGTGGTAAATCGCATGGAAGAGAATGCCCATGTTCCTCCCCTGGAGCAGCTAGCGGATTAAAGATAGTCCAGAACAAAAGTCTTACACAATTTTTGCGTCATATGATCCTGTAAAGTCTTTCCTGGGAATTTAGCCTAGAAAGGGGGGGGAGGGGGAAATCTCTCAAAATAGACAAAATATTATGATGTCCAATGATATATCAGTGAAACTTGGGGAAATGTATCGATAGCATATGAAAGTGTAACACTGAACACTAATAATCAATTTAAGTACTGGGTAAAAGCTGTGAAACATAATAAAATTTAAATGACTGTTGGTCTTTTTACACAACTCTAATACTGGGGTTTCCCCCCTTCAGTTAAAAAATAGCCACCTGACTCAGTCTCCGCCGCTGCTGTCTCCGCGCTCGCTCGCTCGCTGCCCCGCCGCCCTCCTCTCGGTCGCCATGGAAGAAGAGATCGCTGCCCTGGTCATCAACAATGGCTCCGGCATGTGCAAGGCCGGCTTCGCGGGCGACGACGCCCCCCGCGCGGTCTTCCCGTCCATCGTGGGCCGCCCCCGCCACCAGGGCGTGATGGTGGCATGGGCCAGAAGGACTCGTACGTGGGTGACGAGGCACAGAGCAAGCGGGGTATCCTGACGCTCAAGTACCCGATCGAGCACGGCATCGTCACCAACTGGGACATGGAGAAGATCTGGCATCACACCTTCTACAACGAGCTGCGCGTGGCCCCTGAGGAGCACCCGGTGCTGCTGACCGAGGCGCCCCTGAACCCCAAGGCCAACCGCGAGAAGATGACCCAGATCATGTTCGAGACCTTCAATACGCCTGCCATGTACGTGGCCATCCAGGCCGTGCTGTCGCTGTACGCCTCTGGCCACACCACGGGCATCGTCATGGACTCCGGCGACGGCGTCACCCACACGGTCCCCATCTACGAGGGCTACGCGCTGCCCCACGCCATCCTGCGTCTGGATCTGGCCGGCCGCGATCTGACCGACTACCTCATGAAGATCCTCACCGAGCGAGCCTACAGCTTCACCACCACGGCCGAGCGTGAGATCGTACGTGACATCAAGGAGAAGCTGTGCTACGTGGCGCTGGACTTTGAGCAGGAGATGGCCACCGCCACCTCCTCCTCCTCGCTGGAGAAGAGCTACGAGCTCCCCGATGGCCAGGTCATCACCATCGGCAACGAGCGCTTCTGGTGTCCAGAGGCGCTCTTCCAGCCGTCCTTCCTGGGGATGGAGTCGTGTGGCATCCACGAGACCACCTTCAACTCCATCATGAAGTGTGACGTGGACATCAGGAAGGGCCTCTACGCCAACACCGTGCTGTCGGGCGGGACCACCACGTACCCAGGCATCGCCGACAGGATGCAGGAGATCATGGCGCTGGCTCCCAGCACCATGAAGATCAAGATCATTGCACCCCCCGAACGCAAGTACTCCGTGTGGATCGGCGGCTCCATCCTGGCCTCGCTGTCCACCTTCCAGCAGATGTGGATCAGCAAACAGGAGTACGACGAGTCGGGCCCCTCCATCGTCCACCGCAAATGCTTCTAAATGGACTGCCGGCAGGTGCCCGCCTGCATGAGCTCCGAGTGCGGCTGCCCCGCACACCTCATGCTAGCCTCTGAAACTGGAAGAAGCCTTTGAAAAGAATTGTCCTTGAAGCCTGTATCTCGAAATCAGCACCGGAGCTATACCTTGTTGCTGATCTGACCTTGTATTACGTTGCCTGTTCCCTCGGTCTATGTTTAATACCCTGTACATATCTTTGATTTCAACCCTTAGCTCGTGTGACCCAGCCACTCGTGGCTGCGGTGCGGGATGACACAGCGTGGAGAAGGCCGTTGGGGTGAGCACCCGTCTCCCCGACCTCGTGGCCTGTGGGGTATTGATGGCAGAGCTGACGGCTCCAGGACCCCCAGAGGCTGCAGGCTGGGAGCGGTGGTCTTGACTGCTGGCCTCACCTCACGGGGTTGGAAAAATCTGAGCCTTAGGACATCATTTCCTTTCTTAGCCGTTTCCCGCCGGATCGCAGTGGGTGTTACTTGCCTTGAGTTGGAAGACGGTTTGCATTGAAACCTGTAAATTGTATTCATCCTCTTAATTTATGTAAGGTTTTTGTACACAATTCTCAACTCTAGAGATGACAAATTTTGGTTTTTCTACTGTCATGTGCGAGCATTAGGCCCCAGCAATACCACCTCGTTTAAGAATAAAGTGCTGCAGTGAACGGAAAAAAAAAATAGCCACCTGAGATCAAACTTTTTAAAATTCTACATAGGCCTGTTAAGCTTCAGCATTAAAAAATTGTTTCCATATGATTATTATGGGGTGTTGAGGGCAGGCACCGATCTCAGAACTCTCTCAATACGTAAAAAGTAGCATTCATTAGATCAAACCCATTTTGTAACTCTAGAACTGGTAAATCTAGGTTCTTACTCTGACAAGATTCTACTCAAGCTCCATCCATCATCTTGCTCACTAAGGCACAAGGGTGCCGTCTCTCCCTTTTCAAACTACGTCCCTTCCACCCCTCTATATTCACTATTTCAGTCATACTTCTGTGGCTATAATAATTTTATCCCATTTGTTTCCCTAAATAATAAATATCTCCTTATAGCATGATATGCATTGTGCAAGGTCCATGAGGTATGAGAAGACACAGTCTCGTTTACGGCCATACCACCCTGAATGCACCTGATCTCATCTGATCTCATAAACTAAGGAGGATTGGACCTGGTTAGTACTTGGATTGGAGAAGACAGTCTCTGCCTTTGAGTTGTTGCACCGTAGTTAGCATACTGAAAAGGCTGTGATGCGAAAGCAGCTCTAACAGAGGAAAAGTATAGAAACAGCATCCTGGAAGCTAAAAGCGAAGGCACATTCCCCAGACTTGGTGGTAAGCAGGGAGGCCAGGCTTTCTGGGAAGAGTAGGCACAGGTCAGAAGAAGCAACAAGAGAGTATTCTGCTGCCTTTTAGGGTATAAAAGTTCAATGAAATTTGGGGGAATAGAAATAAAATTAATGAAGAGAAATAAGACTAGTAAAGTTAGCAGAAATCAGGAAGGGGTCTGGCCTTGACCCTGAAAAGTAGGAAACCACTGAAGGATTTGAACAGAGGAATGATAACTGGTTTTGCATTTCAGAGAATTTCCTTTTGGAGTGTAGAAATGGAACTGACAGCAGGAGAGGACGCACTGGTGACAAAGAAACCAGTGACTGTTATGGTTTCCTAGCTGAGGAATGACTGTGGCTTGAGTTAGGCAAAGGACAAGACAGGTGTGCATTTGTGCGTGTACACACACACAATTATGTATACT